CAAATGCTGCCAAGAGGCTGGAGAGGACGAGCCAAGAAAAGGCCATTGGTTTGTTGAGCAAAAGATCACAGGGGACCTCTGAGAGTGCAGTGCAGTAGGGCTGGGACGGAGCCAGGTTAGATGGGGAGGAAGGAAGAAGGCAGGAGGCATGGGCTCTCACTATGTACAGCACTGACAGGAAGATGGCAGGGATGGTTTGGAGACTTCAAGTCAAAAGGTTAGATTGCAAAGAAGCTGAGGGCTACAAAAGCATTTTTAAATAATTTATTAATCTGGAAAATAAAAATTCATTCTCCTGAATCCAGTAATTCTGCTTACAGGACTCTAGCCTAGGAAAACAATCAGGAATGCAAGACTAGGAGACAATAATGAAAGAACTTTAACTCTCTATTTTATGCACTTATATAGAATTTCAAGTTTCTACAGTAGCATGTGTCTAATCATTTTAAAATAAAGATTTGTAGTGCTAAAAAGGAGAAAAATTTGCAGACATATATACATAAAATATGCATAACATCCATATAACAAAACACAGGAAATGACATTAATGTTCACTATTAGGGGAATAAATAGGGAAACTGGGGTATAATTATCCAAAGCGTTTTTTCGACAAGTCAAAGAAAGTAATGAAAAATATACAACACGAAAAAAATTCATCAGTTTGGTGAGGGAAAAAGGCCACAAATTTAACAAAGGCTATAATCACATTATGAAAAAACATGCATAGAAAAACAGACTGAGAACCAAACCAGACACATGGGAGACCTTAACAAAGGTTGTATTCCATGATAGAATTTGAGTGACTTTCTCTTCTCTACTTTCTAACACAGTTGCAAAACAACATGGTTTTTACCACTGCTTTTGTTTTTATTCTTTTTACTTTAATTTATTTATTTATTTATTTTTGAGACGGAGTCTTGCCCTGTCACCCAGGCTGGAATGCAATGGCACAATCTCAGCTCACTGCAACCTCTGTCTCCCAGGTTCAAGTAATTCTCCTGCCTCAGCCTCCCAAGTAGCCGGGATTACAGGTGTCCACCACCACACCCAGCTAATTTTTGCATTTTTAGTAGAGACAGGGTTTCACCATGTTGGCCGGGCTGGTCTTGAACTCCTGACCTCGTTATCTGCCCGCCTCAGCCTGCCAAACTGCTGGGATTACATTACAAGCGTGAGCCAATGCGCCCGGCTGCTTTTGTTTTTAAATAGGCACATGTCACAAAAGAAAAACCAAAATGACGCTACAATAGCCAAAGCTTCAGAGCAGCAAATGAGAACAGGAGACGGCAGCCTCACCAGCCAGCCCTGCCTGTGGATGCTGCAGAAACACGATGGAGCGGCTCCACTCACGCACACCCAGCATGGCTCTGAGCCTCCGTCACCTCATGCAAGATGAGGGTCTCAGAACGGATCATCTCTAAAGTTACTTCCAGGTTTAAAATTGTATGATTCTAAGCTGAGAAAACCAAGAAATTAGAGAACAGACATAGGCATTTCTCCAGTTTCCCACATAACATCATATACATGTGGCAGGGGGCAAGGGGAGTCTGTGTACTAAGTTTTAATGCTTACGCCATATAAAACAGTATACATTTAACAAAATATGACATACCAATCATAGTTTTAAAAGATGCTTACAGGCCGGGTGCAGTGGCTCATGCCTGTAATCCCAGCACTTTGGGAGGCTGAGGTGGGCAGGTTTCTTGAAGCCAGGGGTTTGAGAACAGCCTGGCCAACGTGGTGAAACTCCATCTCTAGTAAAAATATAAAAATTAGCTGGGTGTGGTGGTGCACGCCTGTAGTCCCAGCTACTCGGGAGGCTGAGGCAGGAGAATCCCTTGAACCTGGGAGGCGGAGGTTGCAGTGAGCCGAGATGGCACCACTGCACTCCAGCCTGGGCGACAGAGTGAGACTGTGTCTCAAAAAAATAAAAATTTAAATTTAAATTTTAAAAGATGCTTTTGTACAAATTGCTAGAAGGAAAATATAGTAGATGGCTGTAAAGTTAAATATTATTTCTAAGTAAAATAACAATATAAAACAAAAATGCTTCAGTGAAACAGCAAGGCCACACGACAAGTTGCCCTGTCAGCTGCAGATGGTCCTGTCTCCAGGAGTTCCCAGAAGAGTGGACACTAGGCTACAGTGCTAGAGAAATCTCTGGGAGGAGACAGGACTGCAATTGGCCTTAACGAATGGATTCTGGGTTTCTTTTTGGGTTGATGAAAATGTTCTGGAATTAGATAGTGGTGTTGTTGCACAACCTTGTAAATCTACTAAACAAAAATCACTGCATTGTACACTTTGAAAGAGTGAATTTTATGGCATATGAATTATACAGTCATGTGTCACTAAACGACAGGGATACACTCAGAAAAAATGCATCCTTTGGTGAATTTATCATTGTGCAAACATCATAGCGTGTTCTTACACAAACCCAGGTGGCAGAACCTACTATACACCTAGGATACACGAATGGCCAATATCATATATGGGGCCCATCACTAACTGAAATGCTGTTATGCGGCATATGACTGTACCCCAACTAAAAAAAATGATGCAGTCAGAGGTAACTAAACAGAACAGTGTGGAAAAAACAAAAGTACACTTGACAAGTGTAATAAGGAAAAAGGTAGGTTAGAAAAGAAATGTCAAAGAGTTCTGAATGTCAGGAAAAGTTAACTGGAAATTATTTGTAAGACTGTAGAGTAAGCAAAGACTCATGGACAAAACTGAACCATCAAATGCTTTGGAAAGAATGTCTGTTTCTCCACTGGAAAAACAAGCCTCAGGTAAACAGGGGCCCGGTCCTGTTCACATGATGGGTATTTGAGTGTCAAATGCGTTTATGAATGAGTGACTATTTTCAGATTTCACTGGTTTTATGTGAAGAGTAGGGAAGAACCATGACTGGGTCCATCATGAGATTCACTGCAATAAATATCAGTCTGGGCCTATGCAACATGACTCCGAACCAGGAATATTTACACAGATTGCTTAAAAGGTGAGAAAAAGAGATTCTGCTCTCCATCAATGATATGAAATGTACTTAATAGGTATAAATGCAAAAATGCTTCATAGTTTAGCTCTAGTTACATAAAACTAAGCCTCTGAACAGACTCCACTTGTGCAAAAGAAAGAGAAAAGGGAAGGAAAAAAGAAGAATAAGAGAAACACAAGGTAAGTACAAGAGAAAGAAGGGGTGAGGTGGCCACTGTCTCTTTAAGAAGCTCCTTGGAGACACATAACTGTAGAAAGCCTGGTGAATTCAACATTGATTGGGAATGAGGTAACCACAAACACCACTGTCTCAAATGAAAAGGAATTCAAGATCTGACCCAGAAAACAAGCATCGTAACCACCAGATAAAATTTTAATGATAAACACAAGATGCTGTACATACAAGCAAGACTGAAGTCTCTCATGCTAAGCCATCAACGTAAGGTTTTCTTAGAAAGAAGAGCCGTGAGGAGCCTCTCTGACCCACAGATCAGGTTTCATCCTATTGATCCACAGAACTCGGCCATCGTTTTGCTCTGTGTTGGCATAATCTATAATGTTGAACAAACCCCGAGGGAACAGAGAGGCAGGGAAAGAAGGACTGGCATCTGGACTCATAAGGGGCCTGCCCTTCGGGAGCTCCAGAGAAGAAATTCGTAAGTGGTTTTGAGATTCAAGGCTCTCCTTTATTTGTAAGTTCTTTTGTGACTCATTCAGTACAGTCTCAGCCTTCTGTCCTCAAGTGTCTTCTGACACTCTAGGCAGAGATCCCTTTAGCTGGAATGATCTAAGTAACTTCTGGAGTTCCCACCAAACTGTAGCATTTGTGGGTAGAAAGGAGCTGCATATCGGGCGATCGTAGGCCCATATTTTAGCAATGAGGTGGAGAAGCCCAACGTGCACTGATAACTTAATGGACAGAATCGCAAGTATCTGGACCATCAATCTTTCTAAAACTAGTTCTGCAGCACTCCCAAGAAAGGCTTTCACCTCTAAATCATAGCCAGTAAAACAGAAACTGAAGAAAAGCATTCCTCCTGGGTATATCTTGTTTAAAGCAGAAATACTTCTTTTCATAGGCACTGCATACCACAAAATATTAAAATAATCCGACTCTTTGGAATTTCTATTCAAAAGGTGCTCTTTAAGGAATGCTGCTTAAGGAAAGATTTTTCTTTAAAGAAAAGGACTCCTCTACTACTGAGTTTTAAAGTCCAAGGTTTGTTTTGTTTTCCCATAGGCAGGAACTTCCCTAAGGCGTCTCACTCCATAGCTGATCCAAACTCAGAAATTTAAGTGTTCTGGTCTCTACTTTATGGTATTAAGTATACAATCTGAGGCTGTAGTTCATGACATCTTCCTAATCCAAAAAGAAAACTGATCTTACTGTACAGTAATTAAGTATATAAATGTACCTCTGTAACAAAGTAGGAAGACTTCATCAAAGTGGTTTTTGGGACAGAAGCTGAAGGAATTTACAGAAGCTAAAAGTAAATGTCTTGGCCATGGAGGAAAAAAAAAAGCTATTTCGGGACAACTTAAGTAACAAATATGTACTATATGGTGGGGAAGGAAGATTATGCGTGGCCACAGCCCTTCTTCACAATAAGGGATTTAGAAAAAGAGAATGAGAACAGGGCCTGTCTGTGCCAACACTTATTATATCTGCTTGACTTTTTTATGTCTTCATAAAATACAAACTGTTTGCCTTAATGAAAATCTCACATAACATGCCACAAAAGTGATTTAAAAGCTGGGAAAGACATATTGAGACAAATGGATCACAGATCCGCTCTACACCATGTGCTTCTCACCCTCGCTGCAGCGCTCTCACGTCCTCGGGAACAGAATCACAGAGACTCTCCCTCTTCCACATGGGCTGTAACTGAGCGAGGTACATGCTCTCAAGGGAAGCTAAGGTCACTGGTACTCAGAGGGCAGTACGTGAGAAATGAAAGACCTTCAGATGCAGAGCACTCAGTGGAAATGGTTTTGCTTACCCAGCAATGACCACGCCATCGTGAGAATGCACATCACACAAAACCGCGTCAGGAATGTGCTCCAGCTCACTCACGGCACCTTTGCGATTCTGCGTGAGGAAAAGGGGGATGCAGTTTAGACTATTCTTGGGACAGCCCAAAAGCCAAGCATCGTGCTTTTTCACCTACTTTCCACAGCAATTCTCTACAGCATAGACAGCAAGTGCATTCAAAGTTCTGTGGGCATTCAAAAAGACAAAAATGATGACTCACATGCTAAGCTATCAAGCATGGACGAGTTACCATATATCCCAAAGGCACCGAACTCGAGGACATGGGATGTGTGAGACACTGCCCCATCTTCCAGGAGGTTACAGAATAGAAAGCAAATATGTGCTCACCAATAACTACCATCCACAATAGGCTGGCACATATCTGCTGGGAGTGGCAAGTATCTAAAGAAGCTTATAAAGTATACGAAAAAGTTCAGTTCAGCAAAAAGAAAGTATTACATGATACCTTACCTGTTAACTCTTATGAGGATTCTCAGAATAAAATGCAAAATTATATACAAATAGATAAAGATCAGGATAAGAAAAAGGAGAAGAGATGATACTATTTCTAACTGAGAGGTCAGAGGTTTCATGGAAATAGTATTTAAACAAAAGTTTAGGCCAGGCGCAGTGGCTCATGCCTGTAATCCCAGCACTTTGGGAGGCAGAGGCAGGAAGAGCACTTGAGCTCAGAAGTTTGAGACCAGCCTGTGCAACATAGGGTGACCGCATCTCTACAAAAAATGTAAAAGATAGTCAGGTGTGGTGGCATGTGCCTGTAGCCCCAGCTATTTGAGAGGATGAGGCAGGAGGGTCACTTGAGTCCAGGAACTTAAGGCTACAGTGAGTTATGATTGTAACACTGTACTTCAGTCTGGGCAAGAGAGTGAGACCCTATCTCTTAAAAAAAAAAAAAATTAAATTGAATTACAATGAAGGAAATCTGAATGGATATAAAGTATTTACATGTGGGAGGTTGGGAAAAGTGAGACAGTTAAGCCACAAAGCAAGCATGAATAAAGATAGTCGAGAATACCATAATTTCAATTTTACCAGACTGGGACAAGGACAAGGACTAGAAACAGTGTAGTACCCAGCACAGTTCTTAACATACAGCAAGTGTTCGATAAGTGGTAGCCATTATTATTATTATTTCTATTATTAGGAAAACGATTATGACATCATTCCATTAAAATACACATTTATTAAGCATCTAGACTCCAGAACTGAGCAAAGTAATTCGCATGATGGTCTTAATCCAAGCAACGAGTCTAAGGCTGAGACAAAACTGGACACATCCACGTGGAGCTGTCCTATGACTGGAGATATGGGGAGGGAAGGCAAGGAACTGGGAAACAGCTGTGTGAGGGCCGCAGCCAAGGTTACAATAGCAGAAAAGCTCTTGTGAGGGAAAAGGTATTGAAAGAAAAATAAAGGGTCTAAGATGAAAACCTGCATGTATGCAAACACCAGGAAAAACAATACTATGGCCACCATAGTATTATGGCAAACACCAGGAAAAAGAATACTATGGCCACCATAGTAATTAGTTTAGCAAACGATTTCCAGGTTGACATTGAATTGCAGTTCCAGATAAGTTCATGCATTTGCAGGTCATTCCCTTTGTGGAGGTACCTGAGAACTCTGGGGTCCCTTCTAGGGTCTCCCCAGACACTGACTTAGGAGGTACCAAACCAAATCGCCTGCCTAACCCATCCTGAAGTAGAGCATGCACAGCACAGAACCTTGCATCTGTGTGGAGAGGACTATGCGCTCCTACAGCCAACCTCGCCTGAGCACTGAGTGTGGACCAGCCTCTGCAGGAGGAGTGGCAGACACTTGATGACAATCATCCTCACCATGAAGCCATGAGCAGTGCCACTCCTAGCTCCCACTCTAGAGAAGAGAAAATGGAGGCAGACAAAAGTAAAGCAACTTGCCCCAACACTGCCTTTCATTTCTTTTTCTTTCTTTTTTTTGAGACAGTCTTGCTCTGTTGCCCAAGCTGGAGTGCAATGGCGCAATCTTGGCTCACTGCAAGCTCCACCTCCAGGGTTCAGGCGATTCTCCAATCTCAGTCTCCCAAGTAGCTGGGACTACAGGCTTGTGCCACCATGCCTGGCTAATTTTTGTATTTTTAGTAGAGACAGGGTTTCACCATGTTGGCCAGGCTGGTCTGGAACTCCTAACCTCAAGTCATCCAGCTGCCTCAGCCTCCCAAAGTGCTGGGATTACAGGAGCGACCCACAGTGCCCAGCTGCCTTTCACGTTTTGATAAGGCTTTCTTTCGTTCCAGAATTTTGGTAAGAATCCCACCATTACATTTAATGAAAGATACATCGTTTAAAATTTCACTCCTAGAATTCTCCTTGTTAATAGTGTCAGGAAATGGACCTGACACGCTCCAAATAGAAGTCTCCCTCATGTTTGGTTTGGCCTGCAGTCCACTCCAGTTCACTCAATCAACAGCCATGTAGTGAGTATTTACCTAACAGATGACTTCGTGCTAGTTAGAAAGAAATACTAAATAGCCATTCAGCTAGATTGCATATAACTTGTGAAGTCTTACTAAGTGCCAAATGCTAGGTGGTGGGTCTTTAAAACATTGTCACTTCTGCCACCTCCAGGCCCAACAAGGACACACCTGTCCTCTTCCCTTGCTTTCTCCATCACCAAAGAGGAAGCAAAAAACACAGCTGCTGCTTTTTTCTACCAGGGTCTGACATCTTCGAATTCAAGCCTGGGGATGCCAAATATCTCCAAGTCTCCTGCTTGTAAATCTCAAAAGTATCTCTCCTTTCTGGAGAGAAAGGCCCCATTAACACTCAGTTCTTAAGCTTTCCTTAAATCGCAGCCTCTCCCACCAGGGTTAGACCCTCTGCTTTCTGACCCTTTGTCTGTCTGGGCAGCTTTCTTTGTCATACGTTTCTGCCTGTGTCCATCATCTGGACCTACCCAGGCAAACGGGCAAGAGGGATTGGGGGCTTCCTCCAGATGAGTTTATTACCGTAGGTCGATGAAAAAGGGCACTGTGGGGCCAGCGTGACCTGTCTTAGTGGTGGTGTCTTAACGGCCTAAGAAAGGATAACCACACTAACTCTCAGAATAGTGGTTCTCGACCGGGAGGGGATTTTGATTCCCAGGGGACATTCAGCAATGTCTAGGGGCATTTCTAGTTGTCATGATTGGGGGAGGAAAATGCTACTGGCATCTAACGGGGAGAGGCCAGAGATACTGCTCAACAGCCTGCAATGCACAGAACAGCCCCCCACAAAAAGAATTAGCTGGCCCTAAATGTCACTAGTGCTGGGGTTGAGAACCCCTGAATTAGAGAGACACTGCTCTTATTGACTTTCCTAGAAACTGTGTGAGGTTGCCCAGATCAAGCGTATCGGTCACTAATCAGGTTAGGAGGTGACTAGGGACAGACAGGCACATAGGCAATATGTCACTATCAGTAATGCACAAAAACTTGTTAATCTCAAAGTCTATTAGGATTGACCTTTACGGGGGTAAAGAGAATGTTTCCATCCCTTCTCTGCCACTGAATCTCCAGCCTCCCAGGTGGGAAGGAAACACTGCCACCACACTGCTGTCTCGTCATGCCTCAAACAGCTTTATGTAACACGGCTCTTGACAGTTATCTCCTATGGAAACACTTCACTGTGCAAATTCTTAGCTGTGATCTAATATTTCTGTAGAGACTTTGAAGTGATAAATGTTATGGAAGCACGCCAGTAGGTTATGTGAGGGAAGAGAAGACAGTGCTTAGAGATGTTTAATCATCTCCCTCTTACATTTACTGGAAATGACATTTTCGGCTCCTCTTTTGTATGCAGGTAGTGCTTTTGCTTTCTGGGCCCCTCCAGAGAGTTGGTGAAAGTCAAAGGGGCTGCACAGAGCACTCCTCTGACCACCCTAACAATCAGAGAGGAAGTGGCTGGCAACTCAATCTCACCCTTCCTCTCCTGCAGAGTAAGAGGACGTTCCCAAATCTTGAGGCTGAAAACAGAGGCAAATCATCTAATGGCGAACAAAATGGGCAACAAGTCACCAACAGCTGAAGGGGCGGCTCAGTGTACCCCTCTCCCTTCGCTGTTGGCAATTAATCTCAGGCTATGAGTGAAAGCTTGGATACCCATGTCCTTGCAGGCTATTCTTTCACAGGTAATGATATTGGCCACTGCCCACCTTCCAGTTGGTTCGTAACATGTGTTCCTTGGCTCGGCACTCTTGGAAGATGAGCTTCCAGCAAGAATAGTCAGAGATGCTGCTATCCGGAAGGTGCCCTTCCTGCTGGCACAGCCTGTACCACAGCACCTCATCCTCCGCAATCACCTTCCACGTCTTGCTCACCTAAAACAGCAGAAGTGACACAAATGTCAAATTCTGCAATTAGAGAAGCCCCTTGTCATCCAAAAATCAATCAACACCTATATTATTGCCCTGGGTTTATGGCAGTATAAAATGTCTCATTAACAAAACACTATGAGGTGAAAAAAAAATACAAGCAAATGTTTCCAGTTTTATCTTTCAAGATTTCAAAATTGTTGTACCACCATGTAATATCACATTTTAGACTACTTGGTTCAATTGTAATCTAACAAATAAGAGAAGAAAATACACAAATACATAAAATGCAAAAAACACAAACTTTTACATGGTAATTAGCTATACAATCATACAGAGCTTTTCAGAACAGAATCTCTTTACTTTTGACAAACAGCATTTGTATTTCCACCTTATAGAATTGAAGATTGATGGCCTCCGAAATCAAAGGCTGTCATAAAATTACCTAAAACCCAAACATCTGGTCAGGTAGAAAATTCTAATTTAAATTGCATGTGAGAATTTAGATTTTAAACATATGTACATATTTAATTAACAGAAAACTCAAGCCATTATCCAGGACTAAGATTAGATCTAGAAAAATTAATGTTATGTCTGGCCTTTTAAATCCCAACAGTATCCAGAGGAAATAGTCATTTTAACTATTAGCATTTTGTTTTCCAACACTAATTTAGGGGAACAAAGAGTTTACTTCATCACAGGATAATATGCAAAGTTGGCCAGACTGCAAAAGATGGACTCTGTTGGCAGATGAGCAACTGATCGAGCAGATCAGTGTGATACCGGTCTGCAGAGCATCCTGGGAAAGCAGGATCAAGTGCCTGATGCTTGCTCTCCATCCAAAAGTTGAGACTCACTTCTAATGAAGAGTGGTGACAGGTAGGTTACAGTACCCTGTACTTTTTAACACTCCCTTAGGGCCACTTCAAGACTCAAAGACAGAGATAGGAAGAAGGAAAATGAGAGAAAGTAGGAAACCAGATTCTTACTGCACAAAGGGCCTCAGCTGATAAAGCACTGACAGAGAGTTAGCTTACAGGATGGCAGATTAAAGACCTGCTCCTCCATAACAGCAGTAAGAATTCCACCAAAAATGATCAATCAACTTTTTCAGAATCTGGAAATTAATAAAAGGATTGCAACATTCTGAGGAACATTTATCCAAGAAAAGTGCCTGAATCTCAGTAAGAACAGTGACGTCTGAGTTGTTTTAATGTGTGCTAATTCTGTTTCCTCCTCCAGCTCCGGGATTGCCTTAAAAATCAACAGCCTCGTGAAGACAGCAGCTGTAAAAACCGGCAGCCTAGCAGCCATTAGAGAGGCCAGACACGTTTAGAACCCCCCAAAAATCAAATCCCTAGAGAACTGTCACCATTTGACCTGCTGGCAGCTTGCCAGAAAGCTCTATTCTCAAGGCTTGACTTTATCTGACCTAGCTGAGCACTCTCTCTGTTCTATCTCCAGGGCATTTGCCCAAAATAGTAAGTGGCAACTGCTTAACTCTGCAGCTACCTGGGGAGGCACAGACAGTTGAGGCAAACAAGAGGCTGACCAAAAAGCTTGAAAGAAAAAGCTGGGAAATGGGATGCCCATAGGAAGCTCTGAAAGGCTCCAATATATTCCTGGGAGTCTGGAATGCCACATGAACGTATAGGGCTGTGTGTGTGCCCAGGAAAGACCAGATAAAGCCCTAACCTCTCCCCTCTGGCTGACCTTGAGGGTCTGCACCAGCAGGAAGTGAAGGCTAAGGCAGAGTTGTAAGCTGCTACAATGGTGAAGCAGTACTCTAACGTACAGACAGCAGCTCAGCAAAGGCTGGGGGACTTACTGGTTTAGTGGATTTAAGGAAATCTCCATTTGATAACTAGCTAACCACTAAGCTAGCCAAGCAGAGACTTTAGTAGCTGCACATGACAAAGAATACAAATTAGAGAATAAGTCCAGAAAAGTCACTAAACAAACAAACAGCAGCAACAACAAAAATAACAACCGCAATAACAGCAAATTCTGCAGAGGGAGAAAGATTCTATTTCCAGAGTTTCCATTATTTAAAACGTCCAGTTTTTAACAAAATTACAAAAGCATGCAAAGAAACAAGGAAGCAGGGCCCATACACAGGGGAAAAGGCAGTCAACAGAAGCTACCCCTGAGAAAGTCCAGACGCTGGACTTACTAAACAGAGACTTTAAATCAGCTATTTTAAATATGTTCAAAATACTAAAAGAAAGCATGTCTAAAGAAATAAAAGAAAGTAGAAGAGCAACGTCTTACCATATAGAAGTTACCAATAGAGAAATAGAAATTGTCTGCTAAAAAAAAATAGGGAGGCTGAGGTGGGAGGATCACCAGGTCAGGAGATTGAGACCATCCTGGCTAACATGGTGAAACCCCATTTCTACTAAAAATACAAAAAATTATCTGGGCGTGGTGGCGGGCGCCTGTAGTCCCAGCTACTCGGGAGGCTGATGCAGGAGAATCATTTGAACGCAGGAGGCAGAGGTTGCAGTAAGCCAAGATCACATCACTGCATTTCAGCCTGGGCGACAGAGCAAGACTCCATTTCAAAAAAAA